TTAAAGCCTTGGCAAAATACTTCCTTTTTAACAAATATGGAGAATTTATCAAGAGATTATCATCACATGCAACACATTATATTATAGACATTATTGGGATGATGGTCACTAAGACCGAGTTACATCAGAACACTCCCTTCGTGCTTACATATTTGAATGAGCCATACCAATCTCTCGTGTTTCATTCTTAGGGCTCAAAGCCCTTTATCAAATCACATCTTCATGTGTATTACTACCTTAAGTAGTTCATACTTTAACACAAGGAGGCACTAAAACACAGGGAATTCATAAATCGGCTCTTTCAAATTTGTTAGCACCCATTACTGAATGTACATAAACTCCATACATATTCATAAAACAATTAGCCAAAATATAACCAAATCATATTAAACATAAAATTAAAAGTTATTGAATCATCTTTACCTATATGACCTTACCATGTAATGTGAGATTGATTTCATACCTCAAAACTATGTAGTGTGGCACCTGGGCTTTTTTGATTTATTGTTTTTACTTATTTGAAAAGCTTTTGTTATCTTGGAAAAGCTCGCAATTGAAGGAGAATATATTGATCATCGATTTCAAATGTCACAAAGTGTTCATCTATTTGGCATTTGGATTCTCCCTGTCTCAAATCATGAAGACAAGCTCTTCTTCATCCCATCATTTCAAACATCACAATTTTGATTCTCCCACAACTCTTTAGCCTGTTTTTTTTGCTATTACCAAGTTTCCCTATGTATCCCTTCATCTTGAAAAAACCAAAATGCTTTCTATATGTATTGTATTTCTTCTTCTTTCTGCTTTTTTCAGATCGAAAACTCTTTATATATAGTGTCATATCTGGCCAACTCTATATTACATGTGTCTGAAGTTTTACTATAATAAACTATACTCATGGCACACTATGGAACATTTTTAAATGAGTCCTAAAAAGGTCTCCATAATTAGGAACCCAAAGATATGTCTTATCATGCCACATCTTTTAATTTACTGTACAATAGAACTTGAGCATCCCATGATAAAAATATGATATCGCTTAAGTCACAAATAGTTTGTCTCCAAATCTTTTTTAGTATTGAAATAGACTAAAAAATATAAAATAATGCTCAATTCCATCTCTAAACCATAGCATTTAGTAAATCTTCATTTTAGCAATATTTACGTCATAATGCAACTTTCTTAGTAGAAAATCAGGTTGAGCACCTCTCAATAAAAACTTCGTTTCTCTCCATCCTCAAAGAGTTTCTTCTTTAAATCTTTTGTATTGAAAACTAGACTCAAACCCAAATCATAACATCACAGTGTGAATCCCAAATAATATTTTTTTTCAGAGAAATAAATAAGTGACATTCACATTACAAAATAAATCATATTCCAGAATTCCAAGATGAATACTATCTATTAAAATTGTTTTTTCTCTCTACTCTCATGGAGTTTCTCTTTCAAACTAATTTTGTTTGAAAGTAGACACATAATGATAATACATATGTTTCCACAAGCCTCATATCACTTTGTTAATTAGGCTTGATAAATATAGATATTCATGTCTCAATGAAAAACATACCAAATTGCATAAAATTCAAGATTACCACTCTTCAATTCAAAATTTTTATTCCTCTATTCCCATAGATATTTCTCTCGCAAATAAATTTTATTATAAAATCGCTCATAATGGAAGTCTAAAAACTTAGTATGGACCATAAAACATTTTGTTAAGCATAGAAATAAAATCATGACTTCCAAGTTATTGAAATAAATTTCGTTGCAGAAAACAATACTTGCGCACCCTTCAATAAATAGACCATATCTTCAAACCATAAGGAAATTCTTGATGAAAATATTTTTGTTTGAAAGTAGACTCGATTTAAAGAGTTATAGTAAAATTTTAACTAGAAATAAAGTTATGATTGGTGGGAAAAATCATGGAACTCAATTGATAGTTCCTGGATTTTGCAGGGTCAAAACTAACACCCTTCATTGATGAGTATATAACTCTTAATTCCCATAGGATCTCCTACTGAAATTTTGTAGGTAGATCATACTCTCAAAGAAACACAATATCACTGAAGTATACAATAGAAAAATGGATCATTATCTTCTTTATATGACTGCTCCAAAATAGCCCTGAATACTCATTCTGTAGGATGTTTTTTTTGGTGTTTGAATAATCCAATAATTCTTTATCGTGGGTTTATTGCGTGACCACAAAGGTCATTAGCTTTCTTACATCTCATTTTCAAGCTTGATCTATCCTCAATAAATAGAAAAAAAAACTAATGGTATCAAGTATCAATAGCTCTGATATCAATAAAATAAAAACTAATGCGATCTTGCCGAGGGATATATATATATATATATATTCTTTTCACCCATTTTCTTTTCTTTTGGCAAAGATCACTTACAAGTAGTCTTATTACAATAACTCTTGCTTCAAAGAAAATAAAACTAACAAATTCAATATCTTAAAAAAAAACTTGATGCCATTAAACAATTTTTTTTTAAACAAAAAAAATATCCACAATTCTTATGCATGAGAATATAATTAAATATGACAAGAAGCAAAAAGAGCGTGCCGAAGATTACCTCAACCGGGCTTATTACACCCCACACTAAGTCACCACCATCCAATGGCACAGGATCAACGATCAGCCTTCAATATCAACCGAGAAAGCAAGTTTAGGCCAAACCCTCTAATGAAATTATAAGCTCCCTTATCATAAATCTCAAACCCTTAGGTGAATCCCCTTAGCAACTTAGTTTGAGGCTCTTTTACACCAGAACCCTATAGTCTAAAAGCCCAAATGAGAGATGAGAGATCATGAGAGGGTTGAGAGAACCACTATGAGAGATACATCAAAGATGAGAGAGTAGGGTGTGCCCCTTTGGACCGCTTGAAGGAGAGAGATAAACTTTGTTAAGAGAGAGAGATATATTCTAAGTGGGGCGTGCCCCTTTTGTTGGATATGAGAGAGAGAGAGAGAGAGAGAGATGAGAATTAGGTGTAAGAGATAAAGTGTAGAGATTTTGGGTAGACAATCTATTTTTATAGGCTTTGAATGATATTAGGGTTTCTTAAGGTTTTTTTTGACTTGCCTCTTCTTGTGAGATTAAATATGGACTATTGATCTTAAGTGACTTGTGGGGTAAGAGATTTGAACCATACATTTCATAAATAAGCCATTAACATTATGGAAGGTGCTAGAACTTTTATCTCCTATTTCTAAATTATTTTTCCATCAATAGAAATTAAATAAAATAATCTTATTCATAATAGAGTACTTATCAAAACTGTGCACAAAGCCTTCTTATGCTTTTCAAAAATCCTTTGAAAGCGTCATCAAGGCAAAATCTTTCCAAAACATTTCAAATCTTTCTCTTCAAGCCAAAACTTGATCTAACACAAGGAAAGTTTCATTAAGGTGGGGTGTGCCACTCTAGGTGGTACTTCATGGGCCCCACCCACATGCAATGGTGGGCCCATTAACATATTGGGCCTCCCATGCAATATTAAAATTATTAAAATTAATTATATGATTTTTATAAATCCATAAAATCAAATTAAATATTTAAATCAATCTAAAATCAATATATCTATTTTTATAAATCCAAATTTAATAAATAAAATATCTAGAGATCTAAAACAAATTCAAAAAATAATTCTAAAAATCATATATCATTAAAAAAAATTCAAATAATAATCCTAAAAATCATATATCATTAAAACAAATATAATAAATTTATTAGATGAAAAAATGATCTATATGGTCTAGGAAATAAATAAATAAACATTGGGGTACTCCACCTTCAATGGTGGACTAAGGTCCATACTTGCCTTATCAAACCGACCCATTATTTTCCATGACCCACAATCCATGCAGGGGCTCATTAGTAAGTCACCAAAGTCTGATCAATAAACCAATGGGTCGTAATCCCAGTTTGTAGATTTAAGTTCTCCAAGGTCACGTAGATCTGATGCGACCACAGCTCTTAAGACGCATAGGGGTATCTCTCGCACATGCATAAACTTCACCCTAAAAGGTGGTTCGTTTTCCCGAAACGGCTATCATTATGCATTCCGTGTGATGGCTCGCGGATGATGCTTTGGCCCCCGTCTCTAAAGGCCACCATCACACACAAGGGTCACATTGACCCTCTGCTCACTCAGTTGGGCGTTCTCTGACCTCATCAAGGGATGACCTATTAGAACCCTTATCATATAGTTTTCTATACCCAGGTAACATATGTTTTTCCTAATCGACTGGCCTAGCTCGTCAATCTTAATCTGGTATCAGCAAATATCGTTTGCTTAGTATGGTCAACGAGGGATCACACTCTCACTGAGTTCTTGTTCCACTATATCATTTCATTTTACAAAAACTCATAAAGCATTTAATGACTACACATACCCAACACGAATTAACAAAACCCTCCTCCTTTAGTCGAACTTGGGATCCGCATGACCAGCTTGGAGCCGCAAAGTTATGTCCGCGATAATGAACCATGAACCCTAAATAGTGCATTTATGGTCGAAGGCCAACACAACTAAATCTCTTTCCCTTTGTGGTTGGTTTGATCACGTAAAACAAATAGCACTCCAAATCCCTCTCTCACACTAAGCATATTAATTATGAAAAAGGAAAATGAATCTCCCACATCCTTTCCCCACACTAAGGTTAATCGGGGGGAGATGATAGGGAAGTGGAGAAGATTTGTTTCCAGAGAACCTATTTCGTTAGAAGATAATTGTCCAAAATAATGTAAAAATGGAAATGAGGGGAAGATTTTTTCTCCAATTTCGGTATCATTCACTGAAATTCATTCAAGAGGCCTCATTCTAAAATTTATCCTGGAAATTAGTTTTCTAGGACCCAAACGGGCCTTATGATGTTTATTTCTCCGAGATTTTTGCTAACAAGATTTGTTTGCTATTTTTCCATCTCTCTGTTTTTCTTTTTCTTTTAAAAAACAAACATATTATATACACCCACCTTATCATGTCTAGAAATCTCCAAATTTCAGGAATCCATATATGCAATATAAAGACCAAATCTACATGTTCCATGCCAGTTTGTCACCTTGAAAGATCGGTCATTATTTAACAAATTTCTTTCCACTATACTTCGATATACCACCATTTGACAAAAACATGAGAAACATAGTACAGCAGACAAGATGCCTGGAACTAAACATACAAAAAGTAGAATGTTATACAATCAAATCAATTGGGCCTCTCTCATTCTAGTTGCTTGGTTTGAAAAAGTCATGGACAATCGAATGACCCGCGCACCTGAAGATGTGGATGCATCAATGCACTTGTGCAGATCAGCATCACAGCTCAGTAAAACCCAGTTGCCTTTGTCATTGTCAAAGTACTTGATACCAAAAGCGCCCACCTCCATTTTGAATCTCTTTGAAACCTCTCTATGCAAATCAAAAATGCCTGACCCAGACGAAAGCCTGAATCTTATTACCATATCATCCTGGTATGATGTCTTTATTGTCACCCATTCAAGCCCATGGGGCAGCTCACTCAAGTCCTTGCAGCTAACTGATCTAGCAATCTGCATATGTTCAGATTTCGGCCTCTCCGTGCAAAACCTTTTCTTGTATTCCAGAGCAAAAGAAGGATCACTAGATTGGGGACTAAAACTTGACAAGCAAAACTCAGATGTCATAGGCCGCTCCATGCTCTCATCACGTGGGGCAATAATGTCCCTCTGCCCCGGAATGGCATCAGAGAAATAGCAGTTGTACTTTGATAGCTTATCAATGATGGGCTCACTGTCTGAATCAAGGCACTTAGCTTCCATTGCTATGGGTCTCGTGCAATGGGTTGTGGTAAAAGTCTTATGATCTGATGGAGCTGGCCATGATATAGAAGAGTTTGTAAATGAAGTTACAGTGAATGGACCATCTATGCCCCGAACAGATTCAATCTCTCCTTGAAGCTTCCTCAAGGAATTATTGACCTTGTTAATCTTGCGAGACGGCCATCTCCTGATCCCATGTTGCCTACATATGCGCTTCAGAGTTGTTGGGCAAACTGGAAATGCAGAACATAAGCATAATCAGGGAAAAAAATGAATTCTTTTATTCAAAATGGATATTTTCCAAGTCACTTTACAGGACGACAACCACAAAAGTGACAACCAAGAAGAAATATAGTAAAACACACACTGCAACACACATATACGCTTGAATTTCCAGGAATATGGCATAATTAACCCAATAAAATAGATTATTAAAGTTCTCTCTC